AAGTCTGACATGCCAGTTAAAAGATAGAGTGTTGCAGCTTCTGATTTCATAGATCTTCAAGAAGGGTTATCAATAATGGGATGGGTGATGAGTTCAACTGCATACGCTGTGATTAACAATAATGCTCCGAGTCAATACATTTTGTCAAATGTATGACATGTATTACGTGAATGAACATATTGTTTATACTCGTCCATGTTTTTGACGGACAAAATAATTTACATGCTCGGTAAAACTGAGGACGGGCATCATTGTGTGTTTCCGTGCTTTGTTCAGGTGAACAATTGACTTGTCCTTGCATGTTTTGTGACGGGTGCCACTTGTGTGGCAGGATACGCTCACCTTTTCCCGAACACCCATTGGATGACCTGAACCACTTCGGTTTTTATCCCACATCAGTCTGATACACCATGATATAACTGAAATACTGAAATACTGTACAGTTGAAAATGATGTTTAATGCGATTACCGTAGTGTGTTACTGCAACTGTTCATATTTTGTGCAGTGATGTTATGTAATATGTAAAAGAAAGCATATTCAATTATCCAACTGATTTGAATAGAATATACTTGCGTCAGTGTATTTTGTTAACGCCCCAAATCGTAATTTAAACACATAAAATAACAGATCACGCATGGTGCCTTGACTTACTACTAGATTTAATGGGCCACCCCGGAATAAAATAGTTCCGCCCAAAGCGAGGAACATATGTTTTAGTATGTTTACAAGAAATATATTCCAAACAATATCCTCATTAGATGAGAAGATCTTTTGCAGAATTACCTCAGTAAGTCAATTACAATGACAGAGCGTCGTAATACATTTACATCAAGTACACTACGTCAAAATGGCCGACACGATAAACGTGACGGGAGATATTTTCGAAGTTGTTAATTAACCTGTGGCTATTTCAAGCCTTTGGCATCACTGATCAATTGGCCGATCATTGAAAGGTGATTGTGAAGATGTGTCAAATATATACTAAGGTAAATTCATAGATATCTGTAAATTGTCACTGCGACAGTTTGGATTTTTTTTCGTGTTTTTTCTCTCTGGGATGGGTTGCAGCGAGGGTATCCTTAAATGGGCTTGCAACCACGCTTCTGTATGAATTCGTACCAGGGAATTCCAAGGGTTTTCCCCAGGAATGTGGAAGTAGTCAGTGTTTACGCCTTTTCAAGAATACAGTCACGTGAAGAACGTCATGTGACCGACCTCGCGCCCAAGTCGTATATCTTGCAAACTTCACATTAAAAAATTAGTTATTGTTATAACCAAATGAAACACAACCCATTATCCGATAGGGGTAACTGTACATAGCCGTTACAACAATAAACTTAGTAACATTGTTTGGTTTGACTTCTTGACGCGTGTCTGAATTCCATTAACATGTAACATATCCTAAAACTAGCTTATCAGCAAATCTCGCTGCACTGCGCGCGACAGATACTAGAGCAAGGCATGCCAGAAATACGAAACCTAAAGCTTCCGAAAGGAAGCCTTGGACATCACGTGCGTCGGTGGACCAGCGCCATCTGATTGGCCGTTAACAGTTGTACAAGGCGGAGCAAAAAGCATCGTTTTTCCGTCCATTTTACGCTTGAAAAACTCGACCCTTTTCTGGACACTTTCTAGACGCTGACCAATTAATCAATTTTAATGAATTTTTAGTCGTTTTTCCGTCCAATGACCATATACGGAAAAAAACGACGTTTTCGTGTTTGCAGTGACAGCTGGCTGGGACAGAATGGGTTTTTCCCAACTCCATTTCCTCTCTTATTTACTCAATGAACAAACTTTAATAATAATTTCATTCAGAATGCTTTGTCTGTGTGATGATCACCATTGTAGCACTACCTACATTTGCAACAATTGTTCTCGCATTTGATGATATTGTGACGAAACTCTATACACATGATTTCTAAGTTGGGATAATATATCAAACTGTTTCACTGCTTATAAGGGTATGTTAAGGACGTTGTATTACAAGGAGCATATGAATTGTTAATTCCGGAAATGATGTTATTAAATGAAAAATGCGTATTACATGTTAATACGTAGCTTCACGCATATGAAATATTGATAGTTATCAGTGAGGCCAGCTGTCACCTGTTTTTTATGTTAAAAAGGCTTGTGGTAAATGTTGCCAGTGGGAAAATATTGGGACATTCACTAAAAGGGGGGTAGGCTGTTTCTGTTTATGTATGTCTGTAATGCAAGTTAAAGGCATCAAATGAAATGGAGCTGACATACCCTTTGACTGGGATCAAAATCAATGTATAAAACTTTAATAATCACTAAATCACAGAAATAGGAATTTGTCATTTAATCCAACTTCCTTTCAAAACAAAAATGTTTGAATTATGATTGATAATGCTTCGAAATAGTTATCCCTTGTGACTGAAACATCCATACAGTATTAAAGAAGTTGATATCCATAAAATTGTGGCTACCTTGTCATCCATACAACCAATCAGAATACGGGATACCTCACTGTACACCAAATATCCGTTTGTATGTCGCGTATGATCACTTTCAATATCAACACAAGACTTACCTATTAAAATCTAGACTTAAGTAGGTCTAACCATTATTTTCACGCATTTATATTTACAATGGCATTTTTCACGTAATATTATATATTCATCGAATGATCCACATGGGCCTGCCACCCAAAACTACGGAATCAACATCACCTGTCAACATTGTAAAATATAGCATGCCTCATGATGTTTATGTACATTGATTTCTTAAGATTGTAGAAATGCTTCTTTGTACTTTTATTTATACATTTCCAGCTCCTTTTGGATCATCAGGCCTAAATGCTTACGTCGTTGTCGACATCATTCGTCAGAGTTTAAGTCATTAAACGTTTTATATTGTCAACATTTCCTCCAAGTGGCTTCATAGACTCGCTAACACAGGAGTTCAAATTTGTTCAAAGCATTGCATTTCGAATTTCTGACCTAAAAAAATATAATATACTTAAGACATTTTCTTCTAACCTTCACTGAAACTTAGAAGGTGAGACGGGCACTATAATTAGTATATTTGAGTGAGTAAGTATGACTTTATACCGCTTTTAGCAAAATATCCCTGCAATATCACGGCGGGGGACACCAGAAATGGGCTTCACACATTGTACCGGATCTTTGGTGTGACGAGCGAACGCTTTAAACACTAGGCTACCCAACCATGTCAGAAAATGTAAAACAAATCATGTGTCATTCGGGATAAATATCTCATCCTTAAATACCGCCAGACCAATGTAGCTGAAACTTAACGTGCATGGTTCGGCCAACGATGAACCTACAATTTGTTCAACAGGTTGAAATCCAATTGTCAAATCCGACTTTTGCACTTTGACCACGCTTCTAAATTCTCTCCAAGAGCATGTCATCGTATTGAAAACATCAATTAAGTTGAAACCTCACACACGCTTGTTCTGAACAACTATATTTGTTTCAAGAGGTTCGATTGATATGACACTGTGCTGTAAACATAGCTACTACTTCAAGTTCGCATTTATGTAACGCCTCACTCCTAAACAGGTATTGATTATCAGCTATATTCTTCAATATGTTTAGATCTTCAAAAGTTTTGATGTTTGGGACATGTGTACAAATTCGACCTGTTAAGATAAAACATGCAAAACAGTTGATCCGTTTAGGAATAAAGCACAATTCTAACCATACGCTATGCAAAACATGTCTAGCATGCCATCAATATACAAATACATGGTAACAACGAAGTCACGACGATCTGATCGTTAATCGAGATCTATAATGTGATAAAACGGGTCTTACATCACGAAATGCATCAATTCACGTGAGCCCCTTGACTAAAAACATGAAAAGATTTGGAAAATATCTGCTGACAACGAGTTGGCGGTGCACATGTTTTGCAAATCCTGCAATCGACCGAAATCAGCATGACAGTTTACGAACCGGATTCCGATTTCGGTGCGCGATTTTGATTGGACTATGCCTTGACTCGTTAGTCCAGCCAAAATGTAACTCCATAATACCAGCCTAGTTCGGCAAGGGTGGAAACTGGATTTTTATAGTCAGATAACTCTCTTGCCTCGGGAAGATGGTGCATTCAGTGATACCAGCATATGATACAATATTAGTAATCTGTACAGAGCAGTCACTTGACGTAGTTCATCAATAAGTCTGTCAATGGTGTCTGGCCAACACTCATGTGTTCTTGTAAATACAGCTGAAAAAGACGTTACACTGACACTTCACAGAACTGTACTGCACTGCCAGTGTGAGGGTGTTCTGCATTCGCCGCTCCTCTTATGACCACACAGAAGGAGAGTAAAAGGATAATGCGAGACACACCATGGCATCTTTTGTTTTAATGTTTCTTAATATCATATCTGAAAATGGATGCTTGTATAGGGTTGGTTGGTTTGTTGTTTAACGCCGCACTCAGCAATATTCCAGCAATATGACGGCGGTCTGTAAATAATCGAGTCTGGACCAGACATTCCAGTGATTAACCAAGGGTTGGTGGTAATTATAATACGTATCGTGCAACGGCAGCTGGAATCTATCTATGTCTGTAACCTTACAAACAATCGCGATCGGGGCTTTTAAAACTGTAGTCTTACATATAGAGGTATCTGAAATCAGGCGAAATGTTGGTCAGCAGATTGTGGGAGGAGACAATCTCGATTCATCCTTGTTTTGTAAGACATAAATTGGTGATATGGCTGAGGGAGGCGGGTTATTGACATTATTCATTTGCACACAATCATTATTTAGGATGGTTGATATGATATAAATCGGCATTAGTCCGGACTTGTAATCTAGTAATAGAAGCCCCCCCCCCCCCCCCCCCTCTCTCTCTCTCTCTCTCTCTCTCTCTCTCTCTCTCTCTCTCTCTCTCTCTCTCTCTCTCTCACTCACATCACATGGAGATATCAACTGGTGCTCGTATACCAAATCGTTATTGTATATGTTGGGTGATTTGTGGATGCCTTTACTTTCAGATACTTCTGTAAATGAGGCAGGGAACATTATGCTAGCAAAGCCCAGTAGGTTAAGTGATGTCTTCTGGAACGCTGAGTTTGCCAATGATGGTTTAAACAACCCCGGATCTACACCCGCTAGAACATCGTCCAATGTAACTCCCGCCTGGCAGGGAGATCTACAGGGATACTATGCTATCCATAACATCTCAGTCACAAGTGACGTTACCTGGAATTATGGTGAGTCGTTTTCAGAATGCACTTTTTTAATATAATATTATTTTTTTTAAATAAGGAAGAGAATATATGGATGTCAACTTGTTTATTATGAGGAAGACAAGGTTTCGGAGTATATGCTTACTCCTTCATCAGGTGAATGAATGCCATGAGGCAGAGAGCATATATATATATATATATATATATATATATATATATATATATATATATATATATGTAAGGACAACAAAAGTAATAAGATAACAAAAGGTGGAAAATAACAAAGGGTGGAAGCTGATAAGGGAAGCCAACAGATGATTGGCGCTGATGGGTGATTTGCAGTAGACAATGGAAGCCAACACTTAAGTAATCAGAGCTAAGTAATTGGTAACGGACACTGGGCAAACGGCGGGGCGGGGGGGGGGGGGGGGGGAATAATTAGCACTGATAAGTAACTGTTGTACTAAAAATTGGAACATAGAATTATACTTTGGGTAGATATAACCAATTCGACCTTCATGTAACAGTTGTTTGACAAGTAGCATATATTGAAATTTCACGTCGTTGTGTCAACTGATGAGTGAGTGAGTGAGTTTGGTTTTACGCCACTTTTAGCAATATTTCAGCAATATCACGGCAGGGGACACCCGAAATGGGCTTCACACATTGAACCCATGTCGGGAATCGAGCCCGGGTCTTCGGAGTGACGGGCGTACGCTTTAACCACTAGGCTACCCGACCGCCCCGTCAACTGATGAAGGTTTTTCGTATACGTCTTCCAGCCCAAATGTGTTTTCTTTATGTTTTACTCTGGTCCCATCAGTTAATGTAGAAAACAAATGCTGCCCAATCAAAGATATTTTAAAAAAGTGTACTTATTGACAACCTATAGAAATGTCTTGTAAATCGTTCATTAAATAGGTGAAAACCTGGAAAGAGCGTACGTGGGTGTGTCTGTTGATGACAGCTTCGACTGCTCGGATGTGGAAATCTTTGTCTGCGGCCAGTGTCCAGGAGTAGTTGGAAAAGGAGAAACCTTCACGTTCAACTGTTCCCACCCACGACCTGTCAGATTCGTGAGGGTCTGGAGAAACATCACTGAGTTTTTAGTTGTTTCGGAAGTTGAGGTTGAAGGCACGCCACTGAAAAGAAGTGGTAATATATTTTTTTCATCTTCGAACATGCGTTTAACTAGCTATCCACCTTTCTTCATCAATCTATAAACGTTTTCATTTTTTCATTTATTCACGAAGCATAGGCATCGGCCCATTACATGTAACAACGGTGCTACAGCTAATTTTTAACATTTCTTTCCTCAAATTATAAGCAAAGAAAAAAATCATTCCCATTTTTTGTGAAGTATTCGAATTGTTTTCAATAACATGTTAAATTTGAGTAAACTAGGAAAGATATAATTCTTTTTGGGAACATACAATTGCCGTAGGTGTTCATATGCACTACATATCAATAGAAAATGGTATTCACTTTCATCATAACCGCAGCTACACATATCAAATACTCTTTGGTTTCTTGGCATGCTCGCGTGTCCACCAGTTTCTATTTTTAGACGATGTGAGCCACACCTTAACCTTGCCAAAGCCACACGAAACTTCTTTACAGTGATACAGCCAATATATGGCTCAACAACAAAAGATGGGTTCAAATAGGGAGTACGAGAGCGTTTTAGAGCCTAGAGATAGGGAGGCATGTCAGTCCTGTTGGTACATATTTTTTTATGTCGCCATAAACTCCGTAACAACAGAATCTATACTTCCATTAGACTGATCTTCCAAGAAAAACCCAAATCCCATTTTATATATATGGGTTTAAACTTATTTTTAGCACATATAAAATCATTCAACGACTGATCACTTTTGCATTTATTAAAAACAGTTAACAATCGTTCTTTCTCATGGCGGTAGTATTTGCATTCACTATCAAACCATGGCTGCGAGTATGAACTCGATTAATGTGTCTATGTTTCATACATACGGCAGCTTTACAAATTGCTTCAGTAAATAAATCTACTGCTCCATTAATATTAGTTAACATAAGGTCTAAACAGTCATCCAATATTGATACAATATCATCTGCCAGCAGATTGTCTCTAAACCGATCCGCTTTGCTGTTATCCCAAACAAAACGGTAGTCATCAGACGGTGTGTCAAAAACATGCTCTCGCACGGACGGTGCATGGTGGACACGTGACTGAAATGTTCACCTTAGTGGTAAATGAACTGCATCTTCCTCCATACGACATCATAGTTCAGGCACATATGGAAGTTAGTCGAAGAACAAATAAATAATCAATCAAATGTGTCCCAGTATGGCTTAGGTAAGTAAAGTCTCCGATACCTGCATCTGATCCACAATGACCGTTAACGATAACAATTTAAAGCAGCACACAACTTAAGTTAGTCGAAGAACAAATAAGATGATCAATCAATTTTTTCCCAGTATGGCTTAGGTAAGTAAAGTCTCCGATGCCTGCATCTGATCCACAATGACCGTTAACGATAACAATTTAAAGCAGCACGTGCACACAAGTTAAGTTAGTCGAAGAACAAATAAGATGATCAATCATTTTTTTCCCAGTATGGCTTAAGTAAGTAAAGTCTCCGATGCCTGCATCTGATCCACAATGACCGTTAATGATATACAATTTAAAGCACCACTCAAGTTAAGTTAGTCGAAGAACAAATAAGATGATCAATCAATTTTTTCCCAGTATGGCTTAAGTAAGTAAAGTCTCCGATGCCTGCATCTGATCCACAATGACCGTTAACGATAACAATTTAAAGCAGCACACAACTTAAGTTAGTCGAAGAACAAATAAGATGATCAATCAATTTTTTCCCAGTATGGCTTAGGTAAGTAAAGTCTCCGATGCCTGCATCTGATCCACAATGACCGTTAACGATAACAATTTAAAGCAGCACGTGCACACAAGTTAAGTTAGTCGAAGAACAAATAAGATGATCAATCAATTTTTTCCCAGTATGGCTTAAGTAAGTAAAGTCTCCGATGCCTGCATCTGATCCACAATGACCGTTAATGATATACAATTTAAAGCACCACTCAAGTTAAGTTAGTCGAAGAACAAATAAGATGATCAATCAATTTTTTCCCAGTATGGCTTAAGTAAGTAAAGTCTCCGATGCCTGCATCTGATCCACAATGACCGTTAACGATAACAATTTAAAGCAGCACACAACTTAAGTTAGTCGAAGAACAAATAAGATGATCAATCAATTTTTTCCCAGTATGGCTTAAGTAAGTAAAGTCTCCGATGCCTGCATCTGATCCACAATGACCGTTAATGATAAACAATTTAAAGCAGCACACAAGTTAAGTAAAGTTGTATCTCGGTAATTTACAGTTTTGTCACACGACTGTCTCTTGACACTCACTAAATCAAATAGAACATGAATGTCCTCATCGCCCCAAATCTCAGCTGTACTATCTTCAACACTATCAATGTCCTCACCCGTCCTTGCATTGCGGTCACCACCAATAAGAATGTAGATATCACTCAAGTCACACAGTACTGATAGCAATGCTTAAAAATTAAAGATAAATCGCATTTGTGTGGTTCAGCGTCATACCATGACGAACCTACAGGATTTACATAGACAGATAATAACACATTCTTATCAACATTAAAATCATAGTGTTATCGGTTATTCTAAATGTTTTTACCTACAATTCTGCTATGTTGTGTTTAATAAAAAGTGTAACACCACCCGAAGGTTAACGAAGTCATAACTATATTATTTATATAAGTATATATTCAAATGTGCTAATGAACTAATCATCTAGGATTTAGTTAACTCTTTGAATAACACGCTGTTTACTTTCAGAAGCTAAGTACAATAAAGAATTCAACAAAAACGTTTCCAAACCGATGACGTCTCTCACAGCTGCATCCGCCAATGAATGCGGTCTTCAGTGCCACTTGTCCCAGCCCTGCCTCAGTTTCAGTTACCACCCAACAGCTGCTCCCAACTGTCTCCTGACAACAAACCCAGCAGATGCAGCAGCAGCCGTCGGATGGACCAAGTTCACCATCGAGAAGTGTTCCAGCAACATCACCTGTCACCTGGCTGATCAGTTTAATTAGTACCAGATCCACTATTTGCTCTGTAGATGTTTTATGTTTGACTTACATTATGTTTATCTGGATGCTATGTTTGATTAACAAATAGTACCAATAGTACACCGAGAGCGTTGATCAATGCTCATAATATCAATCACTTGTGTAACTGGTCTGGATTCGATTATGTACAGACCACCAGGAATATCTTTGGGTGCCGCACTGGACAACAAACAAAATAAACAAAAAGGTCAAAACGGCATCCAATCACAAACAAAATTATGTCTGATATAATTCCCTATTTTACCTTGAACCACACATTCCCGTGTTATTGGTTTAGGTGGACGGTTCACTTGCCTTTGCATGTGGTTTGGATGGGTGTCACCAATGGGGCAGGATACGCATACCTATTCTCTAACACCTGGTATCATCACTATTTGATAGAGATTCATAAACACATGCTTTTTTAAATTGTCGGAATCGTACAATGGAGATCTTCTATGAGGAGAGATTTCTAAAGATTATTTGAACGTGGTTTGTCGCTTTTGTTGGAATAACCTCCGAACAACAGCATTATTTAGAAACTATTATGAAGAAAGATATTGTTTTTAACATTGCCTTCCGTGCGGGTTTGCGTACACAACTGCTTCGAAATAAATATGTTCCTTCACGGTGACGTGAAATCATTGTCTAGATTGTCTGGACAGGTAGATTGGATGCTGTTGTTGGCCCATCAGAATATAGGTTTTCAAAGTGTCACTATGGCATGAGTGTTAACGACGGTTGACAGATGATTTGGTTGGTTTGTTGTTTAACGCCGCACTCAGCAATATTCCAGCTATATGACGGCGGTCTGTAAATAATCGCGCTTGGACCAGACAATCCAGTGATCAATATCATGAGCATCGATCCACGCAATTGACATCGATGACATGCATCAGCCAAGTCAGCGAGCCTGACCACCCGATCCCGTTAGTCACCTCCTACGACAAGCATAGTCACCTTTTACGGCAAACATGGGTTGCTGAAGAACTATTCTATCCCAGATCTTCACGGGTTGTTAAAGTTAGCAATGTAGCATGTAGAGAAACCATTACTAAATACAGAAATATATTTGAGCAGAAGGTATCAATGCTTGACCTTGCCCTGCCGGATCTTCACGGGTCGTCCTTGGGTCATGTTTAACTGTTGCATAGATACATATTACACAATTTGACTTCACAGACAAACACGGTAGCTTCTGAATTAATTAAGTCAAATTTGCTAGAACTGCTAGTTGACTGGTGCCCTGAATGAAATTGTATTAATCAGCGATTGTATTACGTTTCTAATGTACGTGTCGGTAGTAGGTTTCCTGTTTAAATGTTTAAAACCTATAATATTGCACCTCCATATTTTTCCTATGGTGTTAGAAAGTTGAATATTTATCATACTCGATTAAGATACATGAAAAGCCAGTTAAATTATGATTTATACAGAATAGAGGTAAAATGTGATCCAATATGTCAATGTGGTGATCCATGTGAAAACGCATATCATTATTTATTAAAGTGTCCATTGTACGTCCACCAAAGAAAAACTATGTTAATAATAATTCGGGACATTTTACAGAACGCCGTGAACAAAAATGCTAAATTAGATTTAAATTTGATGTTGAACGGAAATGAATGTTTGTCCATTATCGAAAATCAACACATCTTTAAAGCAGTGCAAATGTTTATAAGTCATACAAAGAGATTTGGGTAACACTTTAATGTACGTATACTAGTCTCTCTCTTTTGTACATTTCTTGTTATCTTTACACTCATCTTCTTTTCTGTTTTCCTTGTATATGATTTACTGTACAAGCTTTGTAAATACCATGGAGAGGGAGTCCTAAGTTGGATAACTTGTTCCCAATCCATTTCAATCTGAATAAGATATGTTTAAATCACACAAAAAATTTTACATAATATTCTTAATTCACATATATGCAGGTATTTGTTGTTTTACATATTCATTATTGGACAAATTCTAGACAATTGTTTCAGTTGTATATAGATCACTAAACGAGCCGATAATGTTTCTATTACAACGAGTGTATTTCAAAACGTACGCACATGATGTTTGCCTATAAGGAGTGGTATATTCAAAGGGTGGGAAATAAACCCAACAAATCAGATGTCCTGCATATGCCTGATATAGATTATTGTACTTCACGTTTTCTCAAAGCTGTTCGTGAAATCAGATGTCCTACCTGTGCTTGCTATATGTTATTGTACTTGATGGTTTTTCAAAGCTACACATGACAAATTAGGTGTCCTACGTGTGCTAATATGTTATAGTGGTTCATTGTAAGTTCCATGCCTAGTCAGCTAACCAAGTGCTATCTGTTGACAGCACAGCAGTGTTTGGGTTAATAGTATACACACTTACAAATGTGGCTATTCACCAGTGATGAAGGTGAAATTGGGTTAAACGTCGCGTCCAAGATTATTGCACTTATATAGCGACGTGCATGCACGTGTGTGTGTGTGTGTGTGTGTGTGTGTGTGTCTGCTTGTACTAGTCCGGACTGATGCCGATTTATAGTACTTGTTTTAGCCCTTTAATGCCGAGCGCCAGACAGGGTAACAACAAGTACCATCTTTTAACGTCTTTTGGTATGACGCGGTCGGGGATCGAACCCCGGACCTTCCGCTCTCCGGGCGGACGCTCTACCACTAGACCACGGAGGCGGTCGCTCTTCACCAGTGATGCCATCAATATCAATAATACTGACGCACAAGTCTTTAGTGAAGCTAAATGTGGTTGCATCGATATTGATAAGACTCTTTGTATATTTGTTCACTTTTTCTGTATATTAGCTGAACATATTTTAATAAATTAGAATTCATTGAAAAACTACAGTGAGTGAGTTGGGTTTAACGCCCCTTTAAGCAGTATTCCAGCTATATCACGGCGTGTCAGCTTAATGTGGAAGGAAAGCCCGAAGTGATGCAGGTCTCAGACGTTTACCACTTCGGTGAAACCCATGAGCACGGGTATGGTGCTGACAAACCTAGAAACATAATCGGGGCGAACCGGGATTCGAACCCACAATCATAAGTTTCTGGCGTGCCCAAGGGAAGCAACTCTACACAGCGAATAGCGGCGCCTTTGACGACTGGGCCGCTCGTGACCCCTTGAAAAACTACAGCCGCTGTATAAATGCATGTATTTATGTGTGTAGCACAATCTCTTAAACTAACCAAACATTCCTATGTAGCCATACGTATGTTTTCACACCCTAAATGCAAAATAAAATTAACACCTAAATGCCACAGAAATGTTGTTTTTCTCCGGACACTTCGGGGAATGTTCTGCCAACCTATTATTCAGACCCGTGAAGATTCCGGGGTAGAATAGGTCTTCAGCAACCCATGCTTGCCGTAAAAGGCGACTATGCTTGTCGTTAAGGGCGACTAACGGGATCGGGTGGTCAGGCTCGCTGACTTGGTTGATTGACGTCATCAATCCCAATTGCGTGGTCCAGACTCGATTATTTACAGACCGCCGTCATATAGCTTGAATATTGCTGAGTGCGGCGTTAAACAACAAACCAAACCAAAATTATATTTTTCATCCTATGACATAACCGCATGACTTACACACATGTTTGTTTGTTGTGTACCGCCAACTAAGCAATATTCCAGCAATATGACGATCGCATGTAAATAATTGAATCAGGGACACAGAAACCATTGCTTGGTATTATGAACAATGATGGACACAGTTGGGTCATGATAACACACTATCAACCAAGTCACAGACTCTGATAGCCCAGTCCCTTAATTCGCCTCTTAAGACAAGTATAGTGATGCTTCTTGTTTAACGCCGCATTCAGCAATATTCCAGCTACGGTGTGTAAATAATCGAGTCTGGACCAGACAATCCATCATGAGCATCAATCCACCCTTTTGGGATACGATGACATGCATTAACCAAGTCAGCGAACCTGACCACCCGATCACGTTAGTCGCCTCTTACGACAAACATAGTCGCCTTTTACGGCAAGCATGGGTTGCTGAAGACCTATTCTACCCCGGATCTCCACGGATGCGGTTGCTCGGGGCCAGGGAGGTTAGGGTAGCCTAGTCGTTAAAGCGTTCGCTCGTCACGCCTAAGGCCCGGGTTCCATTCCCCACATGGTTATATATATATGCTATAGATCTTGATATGATCCTTTATTGTGTATAATGAATACATGATCCTTTATTGCGTATACTGAATACTGAATACTGAATGATTATACTTATACTACCCGGCGAAGGTTGCAAAAGCCCAGGGCCCACTTGCACAAAGCGATCTTAGCGCTACGACTGTTGTAAGCCTATGTTAAAGTATGGGAGTTACGATCATCATAGCGCTAAGATCGCTTTGTGCAAGTGGTCCCAGGAGGCATCTTGATGCGGGAATACTATATATGGTACTAACTTGAAGAGATCTCTTGCTCAGTCTGTGTTGTACATCCCTACAAGGTACGACTTATGTTTCCCATGTCAACGTGTATCTAAAAATTCATTTACTCAAAAAAATTACAAATGAGAGGTAGGTGAAATTTTTATGATATCAAAAAGGTATTATAATAAACACGACAAAACGCTTTCAATATTCATAAGATTTCGATTTACGATTTCGACTATATCATGAGCATATGTTTTGATGAATTACTATCAAACAGCGATGACACAAGGTCGCGAAAAGGTTAGCGTAGCATGCCCCACGGTGGCACCCGTCACCAACACGCAAACGTAAATCAGTTGATGAAAAGGCAAGCAATTAATGCACTACACTGATACACTTTAAAGCTGGTCGACCGTGTATGCAACCAATGTACGGTATAATTTGAGAGAATTTTGTTGTACACAAACATAAGACCTACTTAACTACTTAAAAAATATTGGGACCTATGGCCCTTTTTAGTTTTTCCACTGTACGTTATCTTAAGGAGGTGGGGTGAAATGGGGTTTAACGTCGCGTCCAAGATTATTGCACTTATATAGCGACGTGCATGCACGTGTATGTATGTGTGGCTGCTTGTACTTGTTCGGACTGATGCCGATTTATAGTGCTAGCACACAGAGATACCATGCCGCAGTTTAACATGAATACCCCACTCAGACACAGTATACTGACTCCGAGCCGACCAGTCCTTGTTTTAGCCTTAATGCCGAGCGCCAGGCAGGGTAACAACAAGTACCATCTTTTAACGTCTTTTGGTATGACGCGGCCCAGGGATCGAACCCCGGACCTTCCGCTCTCCGGGCGGACGCTTTACCACTAGACCACGGAGGCGGTCGTTATCTTAAGGAAGCTTGAGTGTGATCATCAATATGGTACTGACAACC